GATTGGTCGAATTGCCCATGGAAGGCAGGCACGGGCCATCCCCACCGGTACCTGACAAGGGGGTTAAACTTTGGCCTGATACCGTAGTACGTACATACGAGAAGTGCAAGAGAAGAGCGATGGAAACCACCAAGAAGAATCCAACACTAGCCACGGTGATTTTTAATTCACTTCGACTATGCTTGCGTCGTGTGTTTTCGGGTCTGGATACACTATATCTGCCATGAACAACTGGTTTGCACTGCCAAATGTACACGTACATCTCACCTCTCAGACTTACACAGCCTCCCTCTCCGATTTGTGCATCAGGCCCAAGTCCGTCAGCAAAGACGTGCAGCAAGACGCAAAGGGGGTGATGCGTGATGTTTTACCCATCACCGAGCACATTTCACCATTGAACTCCCATTCCCTCATCCTCCCCTTCATCCCCTCACCTGATTTCGCCAATAGGAGCCTTTCCCCCAGCAATGCCCGTTACATGCAGACCCAGGCCGGAACTCTGCGAGTCTCTAGGTACTGTACTCTGTACAAAGGAATGGGCGCGGCCTCATCCAGAGTGCTTTAGGTGCTTTAGCTGTTGCGTAGTAAGCCCGAGACGGAGCTAGGAATTAAGGTAGCGTTGGCCATCAGCGACCATTTCTCACTTACACCAGTGTCAAGAGGTGGTGTGCGTGCGTGTCGTGTCACCTTTACTTGTCACCATCTTTCCCACTCTGCTGGTTCCCGCCCATCCAACTAGTGTATGTCTTGGTGGTACAATATAGAAGTTGAGGGCCTACCTTACTCCACGGACTTGAGACAAGTCCCAAGCCGAAGGAGAAAAGAGAACGACAGAATGGACAGTCGCAATGGTCGCTCGAACGTCTCAGTCTCACGCCTCCCAAACCTCTGGGGAGGGAAGCCCCTGACTTTGGCTTGGTCGAGTGTTGGGGGGCCTCCCTTACCTCTCACACGCTCTCTGCGCTCTTGGAGCCACGTTATTCCCTCCACGGCACGCCATCACCACGCTCAAAAGCATGGGGATGCATTGCGCGACAGAGTGAGTTGCGCAGTTGCAGTCGCAACCCGAGATCTTCTGCCCAATCGCACAAACCATCTTGTCCCGTGCTTTACGCTGCTTACTGCTTAATTGCTTGATACTTTCTGCAAAAAAACCACCCTGGTCCAAGACAGACTTCCCGTCCCTTTTCGCTTTCGGTGCCGTTGTACCGCCCGAGGACGATCCGTGTGTGAGAAGTTGAAAGATGGAAATGTTTCTCTGCGGCCCAATGACGTATCTACACCACAGGAACGTTGGATTCTGTGAGGATCCGTTTTGATGGAGAACATGCAAGATGTACTCTCACGCTTTGTACAGATCTTCTGTACAGATACATCCGAACTCGCCCAGTAGACTGGATACTCATGAGGTCGGTAACCAAGTCAACCTCTTGTTTTCTTTCCATCTTCACCCACCATTCGAGTGATGTAAACAAATGAATATGCAACTTGCAACTCTCCTGCCACGGCCATTTCTGACTTGGAAAACCTGCAACGCGCGGGGCTCCAGTACAGTGGGGTGTCAAAGGTTCGTGTGCAGCGCACAGTATCCCGCAAAAGTACTACTTTTCAACAGCAAATAAAAAGTTAAATATAATAAGAAAAAGAAATTAAAAGTTACTATATAACTAATTAGCTATTATATTAATATATATCTAAGTTACACTATATTTATCTTAATTACTAACGTACTAAATAAATCTTTTAAAAAATAAGTTTTAAGAGATTTTTATTATAGTGGATTATAGGGCCTTTTAAGTGCGAATAGCACTGTACTTCTTAGTAAATCCTATTTTATTTTATATTCTACTTTTATATTATAATATAAAGTACTAATATAACGTATTTTAAAATATATAAAAAATAGTTTTATATACTTTATATACTAAAGTATTTTATTAAAACTTGAAATTATATTATTTATACCTAAGTTAAAAAGATATTTATAGTAATAAGGAGACGTAGTTAGTGGGCTATAGGTGACGCACTGGGAGGGTGTACACGAACTTTTGACACCCTACTGTATTATTCATGCGGTGTGCAGATCTCTCTGGCACAGCTGCTGAATGGTTAACCTCGCAACCACAAACCGACAACAACACCTGGGCCAGAAAGTCGCATTGAAGAGTTGTTGCTGAGAAGGTTGACCAGAGGCTGGCTGGCTGACTCGTAGTGCATAGCGATTGCGGCTAGCTCTGCATCTTTTTCCTGTCGCCTCACATCTTCGTACCACCTCACCGACTTTGGCATGTCGACCGATTTGCCTTGCACATGCCGTTCCGACAACCGAAACTACGACACACTCGAATGAGGGTTGTCCAGCCGCCCAGCCGAGCATTTGTTGACTTTTCAAGGCGGGCTCATACGAAAGATTGGGGAATTTCAAGAAGAATAGGTAGCTCACCTCCAACTTTTTCTCTGTTGTTGATCACTCGCCCATACAAGAACACTGAATACTGGCACACCGATTGGATGCCGGGTGATAGGTGAGAGAGAAAAAAAAAATCGAGTGGCTTGCACCCTAGAGATCTACACTTCCGTCTCCAGAGATTCCAGCGCCGCCACCACAAAAAAAAAAAGGTGTGGCTGTCCATCCGCCCAGCGAGACGGTTCGACTGGTCCAGAATTCCCCCCCAGTTCCCATCTGCCGGCGGGTTCTCCAGCGTCGTTCCAAGAAAAGAACTTCCCAAGCCACGGGAAAATCTGTCTTGGTTCCTAGGGTCGCCACTGACTTTGCCATCCAAAGGGATGCCGTTTGGTGCATTTTAATGGAGACATGTAGTGGACGAGAACAGCAACAAGAAACAGGAACAGGAAATCGAGTAAACAAGCAATGAACTCTCCACAGGGCAGAAAAGCTCGTCACCATGACCATCATCAACACTGTCCACCAAAGAGCAACATCGTCGAGGAGCATTCTCACTGGACGACACCGGGTAGCAGATCGCTGACAAAGCCCACCCAACAGTACAACTATCCAAGGCAGGGAATGTACGGATACTAGCCTGGTCAGCCGAATAGACCGCAGTATTCCCGTCAAAAAGGGGTCTCCACAGGGGTACCCAGCACAAGATCGCCTCCCGTTGCTATTTTTGAACACTGGAGTCTGCGCAGTGCGCGTCTGCTCATGTCACTTCTTCTTCTTCTCTTTCTTGCTCAGCCTCAACCTCCCTCTTCGGGACCTGACAACATGGTGGTTTAACCGATAGCTTGACCACGACATGCTTAATTTTCTCTGCCTTTGCCTCTTTACGTCGTTGCCGATCACTTGCGTCTCTGCGCAGTCGGGAGAATAAAGTCCAGACTATTCGTTACCTCGTACAGGGTGGTACATTGTTGGTTTTGTTCACAACTGTCCACGTGATGCTGTGCTACCGTCTTAGAACCTCTGTGAAACATCACAAACATCGTCAAATTCACCTGGAGAGTTGTTCAGGCGGGGGCAGTCGAGGGAGCAGATCAAAGCAAACTCCGAGACAGAGCGTTTTGACATCTGTCAATCCGATCCCGGGAGGATGGCGAAAAGCCACGTCTGTCTTGCTCGGTAGCTCTATCCGAACAACTGTCTTCCCCAGCTGTTTAGACAGGTCCAGGCGCTTGATTGCGAAACTTGCGCATAAGCCGTTCGTTTCCTTTTGCCTCCGCGCGGACTCTGTGTTCGTCACATCCTCTCTTGCCTCTCTCTCTCTCTCTCTCTCTCTCTCTCTCTCTCTCTCTCTCTCTCTCTCTCTCTCTTCCCAAGACACCAAGACCACCTCAAACCCAATGCCTAGACAACCCAAGCAATTTACCATGCCCGCGATATGTGTGGCCGCGTCAAGCACGTACTTTTAGTCTACCTACCTACCTACTCTTAGGTCGCCCACGACATTGGGACGTCTCCACTAGGCTTAAAATCTCTAGGTCACGCCATACTTGCGCGTACCAAGACTTGCAAGACCGAGCTTCTTCATCACTAGGGGCTGAGGTAGATGCCAAATGTCGCCTCCTGGCCCAGAACATCGTGAACACTGAACCCCATCCGAGGGCCGAGGGGATAGGACATGCCGCAGCGACACCACATCCAGTCGCTTATGCCTCACGCTCTCGGTCCTCTCCCTTTTCATCCGAGCCTCACAAGGCGAAGGCGAACACGCAAGTTATGAAAATGTCACCCTATCGAAGTTTGAAGGTAAACCCCCCGGCCACAGGGGAACCCGGCACCTCGGCGCTCGACCGGGCACCATGCGCCCACATCCCTGCGCTCCAGTTCGTAACGAGCCGCAAGGCAAAAAGGCATGAGATCCAGCACCTTATGTTGGTTAGCCTGGTGGGCTAGAATTCATCAAGAGAGCACAGAAACTCGTACGGCTCATTCCGAGAGGCGTACGTAACCTTGCCCTGCCACCAGTCTTAATCAGAATCATCCGTGGTTCGTTCGCTGGGGGCCCAGGCTCGGGGCCTGTCAAGCGACGGGAAGGACGATATTAGGAACGGTACGGTATGGTGGGGGAGGAACCGTCACCCGGAAAAAAAAAAAAGAAGGGCTCGACTGTCAAAACTAAGCCACGCCGAGCGCAAAAACCCACGTCGGCCGCAGCCACACGAGCGACATGTCGTTCGTCTTCCCATTTGTTGGACGAATTCACCGAATGCCGTCAATGCCACTGTCAAGGCTTCATTCCCCCCCTCTCGTCACGCGTGTACCCCCGAGGAAGGGCGCAGCCGCAGTTCATGCAACGCTCAAATTGTGGTCAATGCTCGGATTCTTCTTGAATTGATATCCTTTCTGTCTCTGAATCTTTTAATCTGCTTACTCAGTGACCGCCACGGGCCATCCTCCCGTGCTCATCAGCTTGTTCATTCATCGTGCCCTTGCGCTAACCAACGCTTCTCCCTCCCGCGGTGTCTGCTCAAGGTGCTTTGACCTTACCCCATGTTCCGGCTCCCCTGGACTTACGAATGCTTCCTTTTCCCCTCATTTATTCAGGGTCCGGTGCGAATCCGGACTCGGAACCGGCCTGCGCCGCCTCCATGTCCTTGAGCGCCTTTTGGCCCTCCTCGGTCGTGGCGTCGATAATCTGCTCCTCCAGACTCAAGATGCCGGCCTGTATGTCACAACGTTGTTAGTGAACCTGCTCATCGAAAATCTTCACTGGAGAAGAAATACTCACGTCTCCAAGCTTGCCGACAATATCCTCAGCCTCTTCGACCTTCATCTTGCCCAACACCTTGTTGACCTCATCCAGGCTTCCGCTCTCCAGAGCCTTTTGGAAGTCGGCGCTGAATGTCTCAAAGATATCCCGACCCTCCTTCACGGCGGGGTCCTCGCTGTCCTTGGGCGGAATCGTAATCTTGATCTCCGTGCCGGGCTCCACCGCGTGCAGCTGAATCTGCTCCACGCCCTCGGGCTCGCTGGCGCGCTCCTTGACAATCTCCCGCGCCCGGTTCCTGATCTTGCCGTACGTATCCTGCACGTCCTTGAAGAACACATCTTGCGCCTGGTGGCCCTTGGTCGTGATGCGCTTGAAGAACATGCCCACGCCGTCCTTGCCCAGCGCTCTGCAGTACTGCAGCAGCAGCGCCTGGTGGACGCACTGCCGGCAAAAGTCGTCCTTGCTCTCGAGGGCGGCGTCGAAGGCTAGGACCAGGAGGCCGTCTGTCTCCCGCTCCGTCAGGATCTGCGGGTTCTTGGACAAGTACTGGGCGCTGGATGTGTAGTCGTCGGCCTTGATCTGCGCGAACTTCTTGGCGGCGGGCGACGCCTCAATCTCCTCATCGTCGTCATACGATTGGGTCGACTTGGCCGGAAGGGACTGTGTCATGTCAAAATTGGGGTTCAGGAGCTCCGGCTTGCGCTGCTCCTCCTTCTTATCCGTATCCTTGGACTTGTTGACGTGCGAGCTGTCAAAGCCCGTGTGAATACCCTCGCTCGTGATCTTGCGTCCCTCCTCCTTCTCCAGCTCGGCCAGCTTGGCAAACAGCTCCTTTTGCAGATTCTGCACCTTGGTCAGGTGTCCCTCGACGCCCTCGAGCATGGCCTTGTAACGGTTCTCGGGCTTCTTCTCGTCCAGCTCCTTGTTAACTTGGTCCAACAACACGGCCATCATCTTGGAGAAGCTGGGCAGCGGCTCCGAGTCGGCGTGGATCCCCTCGGGGCGCGGGGGTGGCTGGTCGTCTTCGGGCTTGCCGGCGGACTCCATGACGGCTTGGAAGGCGACCTCGCCGGGGTTTCGGGTCTCAGCCTCGGAGGCATGGGACTTAAGGGCGTCCAAGAGGTTGGAGATGCGCTTCATCAGGCCATCGTTGATGATGCGCTCGTACTTGAGCGTCTCGATTTGATGCTTGCGCTGCAGTCGCTCCTGGTGGATTTGGTTCTGCTTTGCGCGGATGAATGAGCGCTTATCGACGTTGGGGTGGACCTCGACGTCCGAGTCGTCGCTGAGCTCCAGCGCGTCCTGTCGTATTTACATGTTAGCTACTGAGGTCGGCATCACAGCGAGCATGGCCGTGAGAGAGTGGGTGATGTAAAACACACCCATTTGCTGTAGTCGACAGGCATCTTGGCGAAATGTTTCAGCAATGTGATGCAGATGCGTGATTGCCTCCAGCTGATGTGGGCATCGGTTGTTGACTTTGAAAGCGATGTTGTTGAGTGGAATGTTCTGGATTTTGCTTGACAATAGGTGCGGGTTGAAAGGAGTTTGGTGCAGAGCCAGTACAGTGCCACAGTGCATCACAGGTGCGGGGCATTACCCCGCCGCCGTATTGTTATCCCGGTAGCTGAGCTCAGCTATGATATCAGCCGTAAGGCACTTCAACTCTTGCTTTCACTCCTTGTTCAATCAGCGTAGCACAACTTGCTCAGAGATACCGAGCAAATAACTTCTCCTGATTATAAGCTGTCATCTATCAAGTAGGCATCATAACAATGGCAATCTACTCTTCTCATATATGGAGCTACCATCCATAACTGCTCCTAATAAGACAATACTTTGGCAGGATCAAACCCCTCCTTCGCAACTCTCCCAGATCCAACATACCCCCTCTGGTTGCTCACAATCCTGACACCCTTCACAACCGTATCTGTCGAAAAGTGTGTATGCCCAAACACCCAACAGATCATCGGAACAGAATTCCCTACTTCCTCCAACAAATCCGTTGCGAAAGCCGAAGACCAAGGGCTCCCCTCAAACCTAGGCTCCGACGTCCCCTCCAGCGAAGGAGCATGGTGAGTCGCAACAACAACCTCTCTCCCACGCGCCACCGCTTCCCTCGCCTCTCTCTTCAACCAACCCAAGTCCGCCTTGTGAGCCGCGCAGTGTGCCTCAAGACTCCATCCCTCAATGTGCTGGAAATCCTTGACCCTTCCCACGACCGCAGCTCCCGCCTTCTCAGGGACCATCGTCCATAGGGTGCATCCCAGGATGCTCACGTTGGAACCGGGGATATCAAACCCGCGGCGGTGGAGCACATGCAACCTCCCTCTCAACGACGGCTCTGCTTCAAGCCTTGCCGCCTCTGCGAGTGTCCCGCCGTACGTGAGGCCATGAAACTCGTGATTGCCAAAAACTAGGAAAACACCCTCGTACCGATCCGTCTGACACCGGATGAACCCGAGATAGCTGTCGTATTCAGATAGGCTACCGACATCGCCGGAAAGTAAAAGAAAGGGTGCCGTGACAGGAAAGTCAAAGGTCGAGTAGTCTTTGCTGGCCTCGAGATGCAGATCCGAGAGGAATTGTACAAGGCCCGACGATCCCCCATTCATGGCCATGGGCCCAGAGGCTTGTTTTTCTGGGCGAGACAGGATAAATGAGGGAGATCTTGCAGTACTGGTGTTGATCTGTCTTGCTGCTCAGCCACATCCAAACTGTTGATGTGGAGGCCAGATGGGGCATCCTATCACAAACTTCTCAGAACACGATTGCAGGTGTACTGCTGCGTATTATTTAATCAGATCGTCTCCATTGTCAAGCTAACATTGAATCCACGTTGACGTTGTTTGCTGCAGCCTATAGACCATCTCAAATAACAAGAACGTCAAAGGCAATCACAGTCACATGCCAGGAGCGTCAGTCACCCCTTATGAGACAAGGTCAGATGCAGTGAAAAGTTAAATCATGAATGGTCAAAATAGTGTGAATGCTCAGTTGTTTTCTTTCACCCCAACGTGCGTCGTCTGAGTCGTAAAAATTGCTAGTGTCATATAGTACAGGTGTTTCCGCGCACACGTTTCGTTATGAGTACACTACTGCGTGAGAGGTCTCAAGCCTCCCTATCGAAAAGGCATCCAACTCGCTCTTATCTAAACCAGATGCCAGGCTAAACTCCATACAAAGGGCCTCAACGGCCTCCCTCCGACCTCCTACTGATACGACCGTGGTCGGGGGTATTATTACTGCATGGTCTTCAAGAAACCATCCAGATCGAAACTCTCCTCATACTGGCGATTATCCCATAGGTCACCCAAATCATCAAGCCAAGCCTTCTTGCCGGGTTGCTTGCCCGTGACGACGTCTCCCGTTTCGATATCCACCATGTCTTCCTCTCTACCCTCCATCGAGTTTTGCGGCTTGTCTGATATGAGACTGGGTCCTGTGTCCCCAAGATTGAAGAGATCAAGAATTTGATCTGTATCCATCGTAGCCAGGCCCGCGTTCTGCTGATTGACCACAGTGGAAGCGACATCGATCTTGAAGCGTTGCAAGCTTAGGATTTTCTCTTCCAAAGTACCTCTGGTCACCAGCCGGTATACGTTGACGACCTTCTTCTGACCGATACGATGAGCTCTGTCCATGGCCTGCATATCCTTTTGCGGGTTCCAGTCATGTTCAACGAAAATGACTGTGTCGGCACCCGTCAGATTGAGTCCCAAACCTCCGACACTGGTGGTCAGGAGCAAGACATCGTACGATGGGTCACTGTTGAATTTGTTGACAATATCCTGACGCTTGTTGGCTTCGACTCCACCATCTAGACGAAGGTGGGTGACGCCTGGCAGCATGGTCTTGAGCACCGTATTCTGGACCATGTCCAGCATCTCCTTCATTTGGCAGAAGATGAGGGCGCGATGAGGCTTGATTGGCTGATACAGGGGGTCATTCGACTCGGCTTCTTCCACACCAATGCCGCAATCGACAAGTAGGTCTCGCAAAGCGGTCAACTTGGGTGCATGAACCGGATCCTCGAGACTGGTGCCTTGCTTGTTAAGGATGCGCTGGGTCTCTTCGTACATGCCGTGTCCAGGCTTCATGACCATGGCTGGAGAGTTGCAGAGCTTTCGCATGTACTGCAGGGCCTGGAAGATGTGTGACTTGGCGTCCTTGTCCTCACGGCCGGCCTCTTCTTGCAGCTTCTTGCCTTGCTTTCTGGTGAAATCGTCAAACAGCTTCTTCTGAAGGTCGCTCAAGTCGCAGTAGTAATTCTGCAAAATCTTGGGCGGGAGGTCATCTAGAACCTCCTCCTTGAGGCGTCGCAGAAGGAATGGCAGGACTTGCTTGTGGAGAGCCTCGATAGCCAGAGCACCCGCTTCTTGCTCCTTTGAAGATGCCTTGCTGAAGCGACTTGCGGCGATGGGCTTGGCGAACCGATCCAAGAAGACCTTCTCAGCACCAAGGAAGCCAGGCATCAAGAAATCGAACAAGGACCAGAGCTCCAATACGTTGTTTTGGATAGGTGTTCCGGTCAGAATCAGTCGGTGGTTGCTGGCCAATTTCTTGACAGAAATCGTAATCTTGGCCTTCGGGTTCTTAATCAAGTGTCCCTCATCCAAGATGACGTAATTCCAGTTGTACTTTGCAAGAACATCGGCGTCGTTTCGGCAGACATCGTAGCTGGTAACGACGATATCAGTCTTGTCCAGGTTATCCTTCATGCTCTTTCTCTCGGCTGGCGGGCCAACGTAGGCAGTGACGCTCAAGAAGGGTGCGTAAGTCTTGATCTCCTGCTGCCAGTGACCGGACAATGTAGGAGGGCAGACGACCAGAGATGGGAGACGGCGAACATCGGGTGCGCCTGTCTTCGCGTACTCTTCGGCGCGCTGGTGATGGTCGCTGGCAACCATGCAGATGGTTTGCAAGGTCTTTCCAAGACCCATGTCGTCGCAAAGAATGCCGTGCAAATGGTACTTGTTGAGGAAGTGAAGCCAATTGACACCATCTTGCTGGTATGAACGAAGTTCTGCCTTGATAGCGACGGGAATCGGGAACGATTCCACTTTCTTGGGGTCCAGCAGTTGGGAAATGAATGTTCGTTCGCGGTCTCTGCCCTTGAGCAGCTCTTCAGACAGTCCAGGAGGGTCTGGGATGCCTGCCTCCAGTGGCACGAGTTTGACGAGGGTTGCAAAAGACGTTGTCGCAATCAGACGAATTTCGTTATCTGAGTCGCTCATGCGGCCCAGAACGGGAACAATGAGGAAGATAACGTAAGGAAGGATAGCATCGCCCATCACGGCAATCAAGTGGTAAATGGCTTCGATCGCACCTTGACGGAAGTTGAGGTCGATAGGATTGCTGATGGATGGCAAGACGTTCTCCACAAGGGCTGTCATACCCTCGACTGTGATGACGCTACAGACAGTAGCCATACATTTCGCTGCCATGTAGCGGAAGACAGAAAGCTCAGAATGCAGGGCTTTAATGACTAAAGGAACCTTCTCCATGATAAATGGATGCATGGCCTTGTCAAGAGTGGGCATGAGCGTTCGAATCAGGGACAAAGCATCGACGATCTCTTGGCCAAAGGTATTCTCGGGGTCCTTGGCCTCAGCCGGCAATGCGCCAGAGAATGCCTTGACAAGAGGATCCTCCATGAACACCCTAATGGTAGGCACGGCCGTGAGCAGCTCGGCGCCGTAGGTCTTGGAGAGGATTTCCAGCGCCTCTTTGGCGCCACGACGGGTGATGCGAGCAGCCTTGACTTCTTTTGCCCACTTGGCAGCGTCTGCATGATCGACTCGATCTTCTTCTTTCTGCATTGAAAGCACGCAATCTGTCTTGCTTGCATGGACAGGGAACTCTGGAGTCTCGGCAACTTCCACGCAAGAGAATTTGATCAGGTTGGAAACAACCTTGTCGGCCGGTCCGCGACGACCCATCTCGTTGAACACTTGCACAAGTCTTGCAATGGTCGCTGATGACCGGCTCTGAAGCACTTGGTTGTCTTCTGTCTTGATGCTGTCCATGATGCCCTTGATCAGTGGGCTGGGCTTCTTGGGTAGGGCCTTGATCGCAACCAATGCGCATGCTGCGCCTGCTTTGATACGGACGTCTCGTGAGTCCTTGGCGGCCTTCGCGTCGGTAATCGCAGACACGGCAACTTCTCTGGCCTCGCTCAGCATCTGGCTGGCAACTAGACGCTGTCCTGGAGACATGGCCTTCTTAAGCTTGTCGAAATCCTCTCCGACAACCTTGTCTGCAACGGCAATGGAGAAGGCACCTGGACCTGCTTGCTCGTCACCCTGAACCAGGACAGCCAGTGTTGGGAGCCGACCACTAGACACTTTGCCGTGGTCGCGGAACATGTTGAGAAGCTGTTGACACTGAGATCGGACCCGGTGCATGAAGCTGACTAGGTCGCCGTAGTGAGCAGGACGTTCAGTCTCAATAATCTTCTGAAGAGGCGCCGCGTATCTTTGTGCTCCTTCTGCAGGGCCGTTGGTAGCGTACTCGTCAATGATCATGCATGCTGAAAGCTGTGTGGACGAAGCCCGGTCTGAGATACCGGCGAGAAGTAGCTGGTCGTACTCGGCGAGGCTGGCAACCGGAATAAAGGACATAATCAGGCCCATGGCTTTGGCAGCTGATACTCTCGATCGAATCAGAGTATCCATGCCAACAAGGTCCACATCTCCCTGGATCATGTGCCCGTCGACGTCATGAGTATGAGAAGTGACTGGAACGTCATCCGTCTTAGCAGATTTGCGACGACGCTTGTTTGCTCTCTCGGGCCCGTCGGGGGATGAGGCCTTGCGGGCGGGTGTGACGGCGACAGGTGCATACGTGCCGCCTGATGGCTTTTGGAATAGATGGGCGGGCATGGGCAAGGGATGCCGGGACACACCAATGGGATGCAGCGTGAGTCTCATCAGAGGCTCGACGTGAGCGGCGAACTCGTCGGCAAGAATCTCGGGCGTCTGTGCAAGTGAGCGAACCAAAGCTGTCCAAACGTCCAAAGACATTGCCAGTGTTTCTCTGTCCCTTTCAACCAAGACGTTCTGGAAGATGAGTCGTAAAATTCTTCCATTGAGCCAGCCTCGAGAGTTCTCAGCTCCCAAATTTGCGAATGTCATCAACGCCTTCAGTACAGCTAAGCGGACGGAAGTGATGGTGTGTCGAAGGAAGGGGTACAAGCGCGGCACCAGCAAGGTGAAGGAACGCTCCTCGTCTTGTGCGGCGGACGTCTCCATGGCCTGCAGGACTTCGGGATAGCTGCAGAGTGTCGCAAGTAAATCCATGATCTTACCAGTGCTAGCACTGAGATCGTCACCAAGGTCGGCCAAACTGCCCCACATGATGTTGATGAGGCTATCGATAGACCCAGGTCGTAATGTGACGAACTCCTTGGTCATGGGGAGCAAAGTCGCAGCGCTCACTGCTCTGACGTCGTCGTCATGCTCCTCCAGGCCCTTCATGACCAGCCGAACAACGCCATCGATCATCTCACTGTCCTCCAACAGCAGGTCCTTCCTAACCGCAACGACGTATCTCAGTCCAACCATTCCACCGTGGCAGACAGACCACTGAAGCATGTCGAGCTGGAGATCATCCTGCATGA